TAATTAAGCCAACTGTCTTATTGATTTGGGAATTGGATGCCGACTCTCTGGCTTCTTCATGCTGAACAGGGGCGTAGATATAAAGGGGGGAAGGAGTGTGTTTTTAAGACATGTAAAATTTTATTTATAATAATGTCTTCACAAATATCACAATCTAAGAGAACTCCTTTCCACCCCTCAACACAAAGTTCTCATAAATATGAAGGTATCAGAGCAAATATTTAATTTTAAAATAATATTATTTTAAATGACAAAAGGATGATATCCACAACGATTCGTTCAATTTGTAAGAGGCAGAGAAAAATCCATGATCTTTCCAATTGCTTTCTATGCATCTAAAAGCTGGACAATGAATGAGGATAAAAGAAGGAAAATCAATGCCTTTGAATTATGGTGTTGTCAAATAGTACAAACTGTTCTGTGAACTGCTAAGGCAAGTCTATCTTGGAGGAAGTGCAAACAGTGTACTTATTAAAGTCAGGAATGGTGAAACTTTATCTCATGTACTCTGGGTATGTTACCAACAAGGTCCAGTCATTGGAAAAAGACACCATGCTGGGAAAGGTAGAGGATCAGTGAGAAAGAGGGGGGCCCTCAGGGAAAGAGATTGCCACAGTGACAGTACCAATGGGCTCAAGCATTGTAGACACTGTGAGGATGGCACAGAATAAGGCTAGGTTCTGATCTGTGGCCTCCAGGGTTACTATGAGTTACAGTCAATTTGACAGCACTTATAAACAGTATGAAAAACCTAACTTTATTAAAGATGATAACAAAATCTGAGGTAAGAGAAGATAAGGGTGAAATCAACTATTCTGTTTCATTGCCAACAAATGGGAGCTAATAGCTGACCACACAGAAGGGTTTTGCAGGCTGTAAATTATGTGACAAGAGGTTGCTCATCTCCCTCAGAGTTGTTAGTGGATTCCATTCACCAGAGAGTAACTGCCATTGAATTAGCAGTACAACTCCCTACACACTATACCACCAGCTCACTTAAATAATTACAGGGGGCAATGTTTTTGAAAAAATATTAACAACACTAATAACTTTTAATTTATATTTTTCAGATACTTAGTTTGAGCTTAGAATTGTGTTAAGTATTGTATGTGGTTTATGTCCTTTCATTCCAACAATTTATGGAGTACTATTGTTACCTCCTTTTTATACAAGAAAAAATAGGGGGGGGAGCTTGAAAATGTAACAAATATTTCACAAGTTCACACAGAAAGAAAATTATAGGTACAGAACTTTACTCTGATATAATTTAAAATACTATGAACTTCACTACTTAGTGAAGAAATTATTATACATCAAAAGCAGTGACTTGTTGAGAAGCATGCTTGAGGTCAAAGAAGAAAGACTCCAAAATTTCAAGCTTAGTGAACTTGATGGGATCGTCACAATATACTTTCCCAAATAAAGGGAACACATGGCAAAAAGTGATTTGATTGGGAGTCATAAATTTTGGAGGAGATACCTATTTGGCAGGTAGATTTATTTTTTTTGGGGGGGGCAGGTAGATTTATGAGTGCAAAATTCCAAAAAGAATTCTGGGCTGGAGAGAGAAATGTTGAGCTCATTAGTAAAATGGTGGTGATGAAAATTATTATGCAAGGCAAGCCCTTTTCAGGAAAAGTAAAAAATAAGGGTCAAAGTTGTAAACTTCAAGAAACTGCTTTCACCAAATTAGCCATTAACAGTGCCCTTTAACTCTGACACTAAGACAGTCAGAAGCCCGTTGTTGTTGTTGTTGTTGTTGTTGTTGTTGTTGTTGTCATTGTCATGTGCCGTCGAGTCGCTTCAATAGCCCTAAACTCCGCTCTGTCCTGTGCCAATCATACTGTCTCTGACCCTCCCATCCTGATTATCCCAGTCACTGAATCAATCCACCTCATAGAGGGCCTTCCCCTCCTGTGCTGTCCCTCCACCCTCCCAAGGATGATGTCCTCCAAGGACCGGTCTCTCTTCACAACATGTCCAAAGTATGTCAGACGGAGCCTCAAAATCCTTGCCTCCAAGGAGCCACCTGGTTTAACCCTTTCCAGGACAAATCTGTTTGTTTTCCTAGCAGTCCATGGTATTCTCAACACTCTTCTCC